CTTGCCCGTGGGAGATCTCCCCTTTTACCTCCACGGCCACACCCTTTTTACTGGATACGAGGCATTCCATCATAGTGCTCAAGGCTGACAACACACACTGTGTGCTTATTTTTCACCATTATTTATTAAAACAAATGTACGAATGTAATACATTTTTTATATCAGTTTTCAATTTGAAAATTTTCAGATTTTGAACCTATGTCAATATAATGACTTTATGGCTCTAATGTAGTGTTTTCACTACGCTTATGCTTGTTTTATTAATTTTTTAAATAATTTTATACGAATAACATAAGTTTAAATAAAAAAAATATATAAAGTATTTCTACAGTTTTCATCTGTTCCTTCTACTTTTTCAATAGCCCATAAAAGTCCACCGCTGGACAAACAATAACTAAATAAACGTACTACAATCAGCACGGCTGTGAATCTTAATGTTCACCAATTTTTCTCAATGCTCTTGTCTTATTTTTGACACACGATACACTACAACTTCTGGTACCTGTACTTTCACCAGCGACTGAACTTGGTCAACTTTCTGTCTGGGTGATGTTGTGCCGCTCACACAATTCATTAATAACCTACTCATACCAAATAAACAAAACATAGATCGCACTATAAAAAATTATCATCAATCTTTCCAAATTCAAAATTATTTTTATTCCAGGGAATGCTATTTAGTTTTACAAAAAAGAGGAAGTTCTCATTTTAACTACACTTTATTTTCTTTGCACGTAACATTGTATCTTTATCAGTAGTAACCGATTTTATGATTATTTTTTTATTTAACAGATTATACTTCACATATGGTCCCTTATAAATACAAAAATTGGCCCTAAGGGGTCGGAAAGTAGGGGTCAAGTTTTAATATTTTGTCTTGTTAGTTACAGCCTATATCATTCCACTGCTGGGTATAGGCGTCCTCTCATTTCTGAGAGGGTTTTAGAGCAAGAAGTGTCCGCCGCACTGCCCCAATGCGTGCTGGCGAACTTCACATGTCTTCAAAATATTTTTTTTCTTATTTCTCGAACATGCTCGTTTCCTCATGATGTTTTCCTTCACCACTGAGCACGTGGGAAATCAGCACTTAAAATTGCAATTAATAATTTCATTGGTGCCGGCAGGGAACGAACCTGGTTTGCTCAACACTGACAAAATTTAACCTTTTTCCTTGTGCTTATGATATTCCTTAGTCAACTCAAAAGGTTAAAGTTCAACTTCTGAATTTAAAGAATTAAAAAGAATAACATAATATCCAGCAAATAATTAACAGCTTATGAATTAATGTCTTTTATTCTTCTATGCACTATGTAATAGCATCGGCTTCTTAAGCTGTATTCTTGAAATTATTTGATTCATTTATGTTCTTTGAAGGCTTTTACTTTTAATTGAACGTTTAATTTCAAGGGTAAGTAAAGCACCCACATATACATAAATCCTAATTCCATATGTAGAATAGGTAAAGGGATGTAGACCACAGTGTCTATTAACAATCTCTTAATCATTTAAGATCCTTTGTAACGCTATTACGTAATGGAGTTATAACATTATATTATGTCAAATAATGGAATTATTAAAAACGAAATGGTACGTATAATTAAACTAATAAAGCTCGGGACTAGTCTGTGACATTTTTCTACATCCATTTTCAAGCTACAAGGTAATGAAGGTAGATAGAAACTTGAATGAAATCCAGAATTTTGGTAAATACGGCCTGTGGAGTATCTGAAGCAACGTCACCCGTATTTAAATAAATTTTATTTTAGAAAAAAGTGAGTTTGGGTTCGAAATAGAAGACTTTTATCATATTTTTAACTATTTACTTAATCAATGAAAATATTAATTTTTTCTGATAAAACAATCCTTTTATTGAAAAATATAAAGAAAGATACGGTTTTCCAACTATCCTTCCCACGGAAGACTGATTTTTTCTTAACAAGCAACTTAAAGTCGTGGATAACTTTTCTATCGATTATGTTATTTGTATTTCACTTAACAGAGTTCAAATACTAGGGAAAGCAATTATTGTGTGATGCTTGAATTGTTTTACAGATATAAAGGACTTTAAGTTAAAGTTAAGACTTTAAGTTAAGTTGAGGCGAATTATCGTATTATCGTATTATATCAAAAAATAGAACAAAAACATTTTTTCAATATATACATTACAGGAATACATAATGAAAGTCATTTTCATTTTTTATTTATTGTTCGAAAAGGGTCACAGCAGGACTGCAAAAACTACCGTGATATCAGTTTGCTTAGTATTGTGGGTAAACTGTATGCTAAGGTGTTAATTGAAAGAGTTATGAAAGAAACTGATGGAAAAATTTGGGGTGTGCAAGCGGGTTTTAGAAAGGGAATGGGGTGTACAGATCAAGTCTTTTCCATGCGCATGATTGTGGAGAAGTTTTTGGCCAAAAACCAGAAAGTTTTTTGTGCGTTCATGGACTTGGAAAAGGCTTATGACAGAGTGGACAGGAATGTGTTATGGCAAACACTGAACTCATATGGGTTGAGCGCTGGTTTGATACAGGTATTAAGGTCTTTTTATAGGGACTCTAGTGCTTGTGTCAGGATCAATGGGGTCTACTCGGACTGGTTTGGCATCCAAAAAGGTGTCAGACAGGGCTGTGTAACTTCCCCTTGGCTGTTCAACCTATTTATGGACAGGTGTTTGCAAACTTTGAAAGATGAAGAATGTGGGTTAAGAATGGGCGAGTTAACCGTCAAATGCCTTTTGTATGCCGATGATCAAGTCATATTTGCGTCATCGGCGGCTGAGTTGCAAATGATGGTTACATTAATGAACTGGGAATTAAAAGAAAGGGGAATGAAAGTGAACACAAGTAAGACGAAAGTGATGGTTTTTGAAAGAGAAGAAAGCAAAACGGTATGTGAAAGAAGAATAGAAGGAGAGTTAATTGAGCAAGTGGATGAGTTTGTGTATTTGGGATGTGTATTTAGCAGGGATGGTAGATATGATAGGGATATAGAACGACGAGTAAATGCAGGGAATAGAGTGAATGGGGCACTACACTCTATTATGAAGAACCAGAATGTGTCAAAAAAGGCACGTATGGTAGGTAATTCATAATGCTGTGTTAGTCCCTTCTTTAATGTATGGTAGTGAAAGCTAGGTGTGGCAGAAGAAGCACGAAAGTAGAATAAATACTCTAGAAATGCGGTCTTTAAGGAGTATGCTAGGGTTGAATCTGAATGACAGGGTGAGAAATTGCATGATAAGAGATAAATGTGGTATGCAAGATGATGTTGTGACCAGGATTAAGAAAGGAATGCTTCGGTGGTTTGGTCATGTAGAAAGAATGAATGAGGAAAGAGTGACAAAGCAAATTTACATGGCAGATGTAAACGGCCGAGTCGGGAAGGGACGCCCTAGAAAAAATTTACCGACCAAATTGGCGATATTTTGAAAAGGGGCCACGTTAGAAGTACCCTTAACAGACGAGCATGTATGCGTAGATATATGGATGTAAAAGAGGCGAAAGAGGTATGTCAGGATCGTGCCAAATGGAAGTCCGTAGTGTCTGCCTACCCCTCTGGGTGACAGGCGTGAGTGTTTATGTATTTATGTATGTATTTATTGTTTGGCTAAAGCCTCTGCCCTGGGAAGAACCAGCAAGAAACCCAGCGGGAGTTTTTTTTAAATAAAATCAATTTAAAATATGTTCTTTTATAAAATTGGTGTGAATACATTAAAAACAGCATGGTAGCGATTGCCTCATTCCCAGGGGTTATTATCCATCATGTGCTCTTTAATAGTATAATAACCCATACTAAAATTTTTGGTAAAACATAATAACAGGTAATATGTATGTTGTGTTAGAATCCGAAAAGAGAAGGCAAATGAGTTCAACTGCAGTTTGCTCGTGGTGCTTTTATATACTATTATAAAAGAACTTGTGTTACAATACCTCAATTAAATATTAATTGAATGATGATGTTGATAAACTTTGCCAAAGGTGTGTTACTATGTAACAAGTGGTAAAATTAAAAATTTTGAACCACCGACTTGAATATAAATAAAATGACAACATCATCAATGTAGTCAAAGTAAATTAAATACGCATTATAAAGGATAACTCAAAAATTTCTCGTCAGATATTGATCACAACGTAATACTACACATGAGAATCACCAAATTTCAAAAAAGAATTATCAAAATCGGTTCACCAAGAAAAAAGTTCTGAGCAGGTTCGCAATCCGACTGAAAAAATACAGTCGAATTGAGAACCTTCTCCTTTTTTTAAGTCGATTGATAAAATAAAATAATACAATAATTAGGTCGTAGAACTCCTTTCAGATTTCTTTATAATCGATAGGCAAGACATATCTCGGTCTGACGGGTATGGAGAGCCAGTATTATTGGCGTTATAATGTTATTTACACCAGATGTAAAAATATCCCGATCAGTGACGGGCCGATGTGTCAAAGGTGCGAGATGTCTGGTACTACGAACGTAAATTCGCCTGCCAAATGTGCCAATAAGGTAAATACTCCTGCCAACAGAATATAACATGGACTTTACGGCCTGTTGAAGAAGAGGAAGGAGGTCTAAAATCCATGACTGTGTCATCTTTTATTTACGTGTGTATGTGAATACTCCAAAATTGATGTGCGTACTTACTGCATTCATACGTCTTGAAATTGCATAATATTTAATTTATCACGTTTTATTGTAAGCTTTTAATTCATATTCGAGATCGTGGTAAATCGCCATGGTTTTTATTTCGAATAAAAAACTTTGTGGTGTCCGTACTAAAAATAGAACTCGGATTGCTTAAGTTCCCTAAAAATTAAATCAAGCATCTACCACCTAATTACCACAGCTCACATATCTTTTAGAATTTGTAAAAACTTTTATTAATAATAATTATTTTACTTGCGATAAAGTGTCTAACTTTCCAATGAAAAATTACCACGTTAAGTTCGATGTATTCAATTTTTGATTCGATGTGGTTCTCTCTCGTAGTTTGTTATGCTTACCTGAAAATAAAAATAAACACTGTGATAAATAGTTGTACAATATGTTAAAATGTCAACATCATCACAAGCACTTGAATCATCCATACCAGCTTAGCCACTGCTGTACGTTTACCCAATAGATTTCCGTATAGGGGGGATGTTTGCACATAGTTGACACGCTTGACAAGCAAGTTGGCAACCGTGGTTTTTTATTTAAGTCTAATCTATACTGAATAATTTTTATTCAGTATAGATTATATGTAACGATTATTGCAAGTCATTTTTTACTTTTACCACTGGTTCGAAAAAAAACCTCTGTCCTGGGAAGAACCAGCAAGAAACCCATCGGGACGTAAAAAAACACATTTTACAATAAAATATTTCATACAATTGTTACGAAAATATTAAGAAAAAACATGGTAGTGATCACCCCATTCCCAGGGTAGTATACAGTTGTATTATCAACGTGTCCTTACTAAACAATTTTAGCTTAATAAATATTTTAAACATCTTAATAGAAAAGGTCTGCGCATTTTCTGAGACTTTTTTGTAAAAGCGCATACATTGCCCTACGAAGGAATTACTGATTCTTTGGAGTCTAGTAACTAGTATAACTAACTTGTGCTTGTTCCCAGCATTAAAAGAATGTACATCACTATTTTTAATAAAACTATTTTCGTTTATGTGAACATATATTAATTTTTTGTAAATATGTTGGGAACCCAAAGTTAATATGTTTATTTCGTTATTTTTTCTCTAAGAAATTCTTTCGGATCTAGGTTATAAATTTGACTTACGGCTCTCTTCTGCAAAACCACGAAACTGCACGTCGACTTCGAGGATTCCGCTAATAGCTGAGGAAACAAGGAATGTGCCTTGAAACTGAGGAGATACGACCAAGGGGTTCTTTTTCGCGGTAAACGTGCAAACTTGTGTCTTTTAAGGATTGGACTGGACTAGATTTAGTCGCCCTCAGTCCGATACTTTGTTCAACAAAGTCTCGACTTACGACAAGTTTATCCCGGTACCTACTCGGCAACGTTTTCCCGGGAAACATTGGCAAGGTCGGCGTATAAAGCATCACCAGTGCTGTCATCTGCATATCAATGAATATTACCGGTTTGCAACATATTGATATGCAGAAGAAACAGCGTTGGTAATAGCACACTGCCTTGTTTAACACCAGCGTTAATGGGCTTCTTACCGGAGCATGCACCGTCTACTACGACCTTGATGCTCTGATCTGCAAGAAAACTGGTGATCTAATTGCACAATTTCCCGGGAAGCCCTTAGGAAGGAAGCTTTGTAAGAAGCGCTTTGTGACAAACCCGATTGAAGGCCTTCGCTATGTGTATTATAGCCGCAATAACTTTAACGGATATCTCCTATAGATCACATGGTAATATTTTGTGACATGCAAATTATTTTTTACATACTTTTACATTTTGTTTAAGTAATTACTCGGCGACAGTAGGGAAGAAATTGAGTGACTTTGTAGTCAAGATCGGAATGTTAATGAAATTAGGAAGAAACCCCTAATTTGTTTTCCTATGTTGCCTCTTACGACACCCACAGGAAGATATAGGGGTAATGGATATTCTTACATCGCCAATAGTTAAAAAAAATATTATTAAATACCTAACGCAATCATGGGCACATTCCCGAAGACGGCAGTAACTGCAACTGCATGCCGAGTAACAAGAGCCAGGATCAGATTCTTCCAGGCTGACCGAGTCGAACCTGCGACCTAGAGTTTCGCCGGAACTGGGCACCGTGTGGGAACCACGCCATCTGAAATGTTTACGTAATTGGTTGAGATTTAAATTAGTCTTATTTTACCTTACTGAGTGACGATCAGGTAAAATATGGTGGGAGTGAGATGGATGTTGTAGGATTAGGACCGTCATCGTCATCATCATTACAGCCCATCATAAGACCACTGCTGAAACTATCCCAAGAAATGCCACAAAGTACGGTATTTAACCACATCCGTGCATTGACTATCTGCATCTTTTACCATTTCGTCACTAGTGGAGGACAACTGAACCTTTGCTTCTCCATCGGTTATTGGCTGTTCGAACTAATGTGGGTAAATACTTTTTGACATCTGACGCATTTTATTAGTTAATATTACTATGATAACCGCCATTGATGGCAACCTATGAAGAAGCCCTATGTTGAACGTTGAATATGTGATGAGTTGGAATGATGATGACAATGAAAACAAAAACATTGTTGAAAAGGTATATAAATATTAGTAAAATATAATACAACCTTTTTACTGGAAACGAGGCATTCCATCTTAGTCCTCACAGGTGACAACGCATCTGAATTTTGATTCGCAATCGAGGACACATGTAGGTGTCTATGAACCACAGCAACCACTTACCATCGGGTGGACTGTGTGCTCGTTTGTCACCCTATCCTATAAAAATATTTTGATAGAATAAGGTCATGCACGTTTGTCACCCTATACTATAAAAATATTTTGATAGAATAAGGTCGTGACAAAAAATCACAAAGTCCACCTATAGATCTGTGGCCTATGAACACCTACATCTACTGTCGACTATTTCTATCCCTAAGGACTGACATAAAATACATGGTTACGAGTAAATTGGTCTCCGGTTCTCTACACTTACTACAGAAAACACATCAACATTAAGCAGCTATTTAACGATGGTATTTTATGAGAGAGTGGTTGCTCTCTATTCGAGCCGACTCATTCGTGTCACAACCTTAATATAGATTCAGCATGGCTATTCAAAGCTACATATAGACTAGATTAAAACAAACTAATTAATCATATAAGCAAAAGAACAAAAATGTTGTTGAGATGTTGTCAAAAATAGATTGAAATGGAATGAACCTGTTGGAGTAGGCTCACGCTTGAGGAGGCTCATTTAATTAGTTTTAAATAATTAAAATCATATGTACTTTTGAAAATATTTACACAGTCATGAAAGTGTCATGCTGCTACAGGAAAAAAATATAAACTATTTCTCATATTTCAAGCAGAAGCAATTTATTAAAAGTTTTATTTCTATTTTCATAATAATACTTGCCTCGAACTTTTTGAATCGACGTGTTCAATCACAACATTCCACGTTCTATGAATCAAATAAAGGAGGAACAGGACTCTCGAAGATTCTGCTTGCGGCGGAGGCTCCCTTTTCCCAGACAACTTCCGGCTGGTGGCGCTGCTCAGACCGCTCCCCATGTTTTCTGGACGTTTGAAATTCAAATCACTTTGTCATTCTGATTAAGGTGACGGCAGGCAACGAACGTGTGACTCTGGAAGAGGAAATGAAACTATTTTTAATTTTAGTTATATTCTAAAGTTTATAAAGATAGAGCAAAGCTCTAGCTGCATTTTCGTTGCAGTACGAGTAGGTTGATTCGACCTGCGGAGGACCATACTTTCAGAAAACCAGCGTGAAATAGCACCATAATGCTGTTGTGTTCCGTATAGTGATTGTAGAGAACCGGAGACAATTTTTACTAGCAACGAGGCATTCCATTTATAAAGATAGATCAAAGCTCTAGCTGCATTATCGTTGCAGTACGAGTAGGTTGATTCGACCTGGGGAGGACTATACTTTCAGAAAACCAGCGTGAAATAGCACCATAATGCTGTTGTGTTCCGTATAGTGATTGTAGAGAACTGGAGACAATTTTTACTAGCAACGAGGCATTCCATTTATAAAGATAGATCAAAGCTCTAGCTGCATTATCGTTGCAGTACGAGTAGGTTGATTCGACCTGGGGAGGACTATACTTTCAGAAAACCAGCGTGAAATAGCACCATAATGCTGTTGTGTTCCGTATAGTGATTGTAGAGAACTGGAGACAATTTTTACTAGCAACGAGGCATTCCATTTATAAAGATAGAGCAAAGCTCTAGCTGCATTATCGTTGCAGTACGAGTAGGTTGATTCGACCTGCGGAGGACCATACTTTCAGAAAACCAGCGTGAAATAGCACCATAATGCTGTTGTGTTCCGTATAGTGATTGTAGAGAACCGGAGACAATTTTTACTAGCAACGAGGCATTCCATTTTAGTCCTGAGTGGTGATAACGCTTCTAAATTTTAAATCTTAATGAGGATGAGTAGTTTAGTGTTGTAAGTTTAGTGATCTATGGAGCACAGCATTTATAAACATCATGTGGCCTGATAAACTAATATTAAACGGCTCTATGCATTATCGTACGATGTGTTCAAAAAACGGTAATTCCTTAACTAAGACATTATTAATCAGGCTTATCCACTACGATGATTTATGACATTTATTATGGAGAAAGTTTTGATATGTAGTCCCGTTTACATGTACAAGAAAGTGAATTTGTTCGAAGTAGAATAAGGTTTTCTTTAATCTTTAGCTATTTGCTATTTAATTTTAATCAAGCTAATAAAATATTAACGTATGTTTCTAGTAACTAACTAGTCAAACAACTAGAAAGTCATCTAAATAGCCGAAATAAATACTTAATGAAGATGAAAATATATGAGGAGGAGGATTAAAATTTAAACCGAACGTCCTAGAAGTATGGCCTATTTAATAAAAAAGAAACATTTAAATCGATTAAGCTGTTTTCGAGAAATCAATGAGCATACATTAAAAAAATGATAAAAACAGAATAATTTATATTTTTGAATTTATCAAAAATCATATTATCTTTTTCTCTATATATAAAAATCAATTGGTGTCGGTTAGTCTCGCAAAAACTCGAAAATAGCTGGAACGATTTTGATTAATTTGTTTGTGTGTGTTTGAGTGGATCCCGGATGATCTAAACATTTTCCAATTGGGCCCGGTCTGGTCGAGATCCAGAAATTACCCAAGCGAAGCCGGAGCGGATTGCTAGTCAGAAATAAAGCCGTCTTAATAGCTCATAAGGATATAGATAAGCTCGGTTGACTCATTAAACTGCATGATAATGACCACCACATGGATGAAAAGAACCTCAATAAAGTAAATCATAAAACTGTCACTTAGCGTTAGGGTGTGAATCGGGTGTGAATATTCGTACGTGCTGTGGTCTTAGCGATACATACAGAGTAATTAAGTAATGTAATATATTCGTATTATAAATTTTTATTCTACGATAGGCCACGCCGACAGTTCTTTTATATAAAGTTTCTTTTTATATGAGGTACTGGCTAGTTATAATTTTTTTTGAAAATACGATGATTTACAAATCAACATACGAATGTTCCAAATTCAAAGCTTCCCCCAAATTGACGAGCTAAATTTAAATATCGAGTTTCATTAAAAAATGGAACTTTATAGATTATTAATGAGTTTATATGTTGCCTCATACATATCGCCTATTACCTAAGACATTAATTGCAAGACGTAATTGTCTTGCATTTTTATTGAGAGGTGGAAAGGAACGCATCTGAAATTTTCCTGGTGTTTCAGTTATTCATGGGTGATTACTCACTATGAGAAGTTTCATAGAATTTCTACAAAAGTCTATGAAATTCTTAACTGCAATTTAAAGTGCTAATGAAAAGATGCGATGAACGAAAAAAACCCAAAGTGATACGTTCACGTATGAGGAACAAATATTTCAGTTCATGTTTAGTCTGTTAAAATGCGCTGGGGCTCTATAACCTTCTCAAAAATGAAGGGACGTTTGTGCTCTAGCAGTGGGACATATAATATAGGCTGTAACTTTATTATAATAATGTAAGTAGGAATTTTTTAAATTTCTTAAACACTTTATATAATAATGGGATTGTTAAACTGTTGATTAAAAATCTAAAAACATATACAAATTACTTTCTGCTAGTAATATAATTATTACTCATACTAAAGGCTGTTCGGCGAGACTTGCATAAAAAACAGGGCTCCTCAACTCATTACAAATTGCGGCCTGCTAATTATTTTTGCTGGTAGATAATAAGGAAGCCGCCGCAGTGGCTTGCTCACCCAGCCTCGCGCTTAAGCGACAGTCGCTATTGCGAGATAACATAACATAACATAGCATAAATACTCAGACCTGTCACCCAGAGGGGTAGGCAGAGACTATAGATTTGGCTCGATCCTGACACACCTCTCTTGCCTTCTCTATATCCGTATACCTATTGCAAGATGATTTCATAATATTTTTCAACTCTCGCCGAACAGACTTTAATTATTTAAATATAAACAAGAACAAGTTATTCATTGCTGTATAATAACAGTCTAGATCTTCATAAGCTATGATAATTACGATTGTCATAATAAATTTAACTATCCATTCAGCTCGTGCTATGTGCACAATAAAGGGTGTAAGTTTAAGTCACACAATCAGTAATATATCTTCCATTGAATAAGATTAGGCTGAATCGAAGGGAGTTGAAATTAGCATTTAGCACCGTGACTTAGCGTTGGGCCTTTGTAATGAGATTTCGTGTTTGTTTATTGAATACGTTTATACTTTTAAAACTTTATGAGGCCTTTGTCCCTTTTCATTGAAGTATATGAAGCTGGATTTTATAATATACTATAGATATCTAACAACGACTTCTTCGTAATCCAGTGGCTAAACATTTGGTCGTGATGCAGTAGGGTCACGGGTTCGGATCCCGCACGGGGTTTCGGGTCTGTGCATGTATTTGTACAATTTATGTATGATATGCCTTCACGATACAGGTGTAAATACTGGAGTAGAGGTAATAGAAAAAAAAAACAATAGCTTGATAGCTATCGAAAGTTGTGGGTTCAATACCGCCAATTAAATACTGAACCGAATAATATCAGGTATTTAAGTACTTTAAGCTAAGAATAATTACCTGAACAAAAGTACCAATCACACAAGTCGGAAGTGGAATAAATGGAATTGCCAGAGTTATCAGAATATTCATAAGAAGGAAATACATAAAACGACTTCGGTTATCAGCAGCTCTTATATTTTATACGGAAACATTTCGATAGGATGACAGTAAATAATAATAGATAATTCAGTCAATTAGCCACGGAGAAATCATGTTACATATATTTAAAAAAATCATATTTATAATCTCTTTTTTTTGAAATAATTGTTTCAAAAATGATGAGTCATAAAGTTATTGGGTGCGTTTGGCAGAAAAAAGCGCTAGCAAGCGCTTGTAAGCAAAATGGCGATCGTAAGCGGTAAGCGCTGTCAAATCGTAAGTAGCTATTTTCTTCCAGGACACGATGTTAGTTTTAACTGGGGAATCTAACCTAATTTAAATATATGTTTGTAAAGTATTCATATTAAAAACTTACCAATCATGAGTTTTTAATAGCATGTATATGTTTATTCATGTCATTATATTACTTAAAACTAATATTGCACAAAACAACTTATAAACTCTACTTCAAAACAAACAAATTAAATAAGCAAAATGGCGGATTGTGTCAGCGCTACTGAAGTAGCAATCGTGTCCTGGCCGAAAACTATTTTAGCGCTTATAAGCGCTTGCTAGCGCTTTTTTCTGCCAAACGCACCCATTTCTATAAATATTATTTATTAGGTTTTGTAACCGACGCATAATATGTTTTTATGAAGGTATGTTTACTAATTTCTCGGAAAAGGCTGATCCGATTAAACTGATTCTTATGTTATTAAATAGGTTATTCCGGGGTGGTCCATAAAAAAGTGACGAGAAAATTTCGTTCCTGACGTTTGACGACAACGATTTTCGTCCTTGACGAAATTCTTACGTTTACCTTGAATTAATATGCCTCAGTCCACTAGAAATGGAAATAAACCAAACTCTTAATAAAAAGAGAAAAAAAAAACTGGTTTAAGAAACTAAAAGGAATAAGGCAATATCCATATTATAGCTTCTCTAGATGGTGCTAAGACATAGTGTACATAAATTTAAAGCTCCGACTTCACAAGCTAATATGTGGATTTATAGTTTTGAATTCGGTTTTTACATTTTATTTATAGTATTTTACATTTTATTTATAGTATGTTGTCAGTTTATTATACATGTTGCGAATATGAATCGGTTTTTTTTTATAGAATAGGAGGCGAAAGAGCGTGCGGCTCACTTGATGGTAAGTTTACTTTACCTCCCACCACTTTAGCTACCACCGCCCATGAACAACCGCAACACCGGGTAAATTGCAGGTGCATTGCCGGCCTTTTAGAAAGGAGTTAGTTCTTTTCTTAAAGGTCCCTAAACAATTCCACAGAGAAGTTCTACGAGGAAGAAAACTCTTAGTAAAACGCAGAGTGGTGGACCGCCAAGCATCCAT